GTTATATGTAGGGTTTTAGCAAAAAACAAGAAGTGCCAGTAACTTGACTTAATTACACCACATCTTTACACTATATGACCTGTCTTCACAACCATGTGAGGGTCCTAGCGCTACTTGTGTTTGATTCGTTTTCCTCGCATTCATCGTGGAAAGGTGTAGTATTTTATGTGTTGCCTCGGCTGCTGGTTGAGTATTTCATCTCCTTTATGAACGTCGTAGAATTTTCGAGAATGTTCGAGTCAATTTTTCTTGAAATCTAGGAAATAACCGAGTCAGTGCGTTCCCACGTGGATCGGAGGAGAGCGATGGAGGGGGTTGAGCTGGCACCTTTACTTCCTGATCAATAGCACCACTAACCACTGCGCCGGTCCCATCCCCTTACGCCACTTTTTACGCTATCTACTACTAAGGCTTGGGATAAAGAGGAGAGTGAAGAAAGTTATAGATTTTTGGAATCTCATAACGAAACCTCTTGGTCGATTTGTATTGAATGTTTACTTGCCTGGACAATAATTGCTAAAAAAAATCACTGCTGAGCAGTTCTTGATGGATTTCCTCGGGATTTCGAGTCCATGTGGATGTATTTCTAGTCCCATATATATAATTACACATAAATTATATGGACTGATTCATAAACAAACAACATTTGCTTAAGTGATGCTACGGTTACCACCTACATATCCTATTACTACATTGGTCATCGACTGACTCGAGAGGGAACTATACTATTGTGAGTCAGACTTACTCAATCCTCAACTTGTCTTTATTTCTCCAAATGGAGGAAGGGAAGCGCCGCAATTTTGTGGACGATTCCTTTTTTACGAGTCGGTTCATTTTTGTTGTATTTCAAGTGAGAATACACACAAATAATGCTGCAAGGGCTCGCTCTGCAGTAGGGACTAGGCGTATTCATTCGGTCTTCCGGAATGGAGCGTGAAACTGATTTGTTGAATAGAGACCGCAGTTCATATGTGTAATTGCTGCATCAACACGAAGGCATATCCTGAATTCATGCGGATTTGAGCGGAAACACATCGTGGTTTTTAGTCGGTCCCACAAAGTCACCAACCCCTTAACAGGTGAAAGCGCACCGACATTCGAGATCTACGTATCTCACTTGGAGACAGAAAGAACATAAAAACGTGACGTTCACAAAATACTTGCATCTTGTCATCAAAACTTTCATATAGAAGTTCAAACAACGTAAACCATTCCCTTATTATCGATTTTGGTTGTTATAAGATCGTGTGATCACAGAGTATATTATTCATCCGTTTTATGGATCGCTGACGGTCTTATACGGTAGCTTCGTGGGCAATTCATAGCACATATCTGCAGCAACACTTTCTATTCTCATAATGACAAGGTGTGGTTGATAGTTCAATCCCACGCCTCAGAATAATCAAGTTTTCATTTCTTTGTGGTTGGCAAATTGATACTAGTTACTTCCAGCCAAATAAGAACATTTCGCATATCGGTACGCCCACGAAAAATTGTTATATAAGCGAGATATTCATTCAGTCATCTCTACGATAGTACGAAAGGTATCGAATGCATATCTCACCAAGGGATTGATCATTGCTAAACGCTTAATTCTTCATCCATTGTCCTTAGCAGAACTTTCAACTAGTTTTTACATGCATTACTGTTAAAAAATTTCAGAGAGGTCTTTCTCAATTCGTCAAGATCGTCAGCAGCGGTATGGCGGTTTGGGAAGTGAAGGACAAGGCGAAGGTGGCCACACGGGTGGTGCGATGTAGCGATAGGGCTCCAACGGATTATCCTCGTCATGCTTCGACATTTCCCCTCCACTCACTCACTAATCAGGCACTCAGCACGGCAATAGAGTGCCTCCCACTGCTGTTGTGGGTGGTATCGATGCCCCAAACCTCCTCAATCTCGTGGACTTTTCTGCATGTCCTATAACTTTCGTCATGGCAAAGTCGGATATTGTTCAACCTTTTCTTATGCGAGAACTTCCCTCGATTTTCAACAACAATTCCGTAGAAAAATTTCTGGATTTCTAGCTTTTATGTTTCCTGCGGTCACAATATTTCACTTCTTCTTCATTGCGCTGCTTTTAGAATATTGCTCCACGTTTTCTTCTGTCTTTCTTTACAAATAAAAATCCTTTTTGAAAAGAAATGCTAGCTGACTTAAACGGTAAATGAATTGAATCATTATTTGTTAGTGAAGAATGAACACTAATTAAATATTTCGAAAATAATTAAATAGTAGTTCTAATTAAAAAGTAGTTAGTTAAATTCTTCAATTAATTAAATTAAATAGTTCTATAACTAATAACTAATTAAATAACTAATAACTAACTAATAACCAATAACTAATAGCTTACTAATAGTTATTATAACTAATAATACTTTTATAACTAATTAAATCGTAGTTCTTCCATCTAGTGTAACTAACATGTTTCCGATTACTGTAAAAAATTAAAGCTCTCGGCGTTGGTCAATCCCTGAGGGATGCGCCATGCATTCGACTTCATTAAGTATCGTTGGAGGTGACTGAATGCATATCTGGCTTTTACAATGACTCGCGGTGGCCTACCGATGTATCGAGCCAGTGTTGGTATCCTCCCAGGCAAGTCTGGTACCAATTTGCCGACCCCGGAGTGATGGAAGACTTGGTGCGCCATAGGCAAAGGGATCGATTCCACGTGTGTGTTGCAGGGTGCCTCCGACCACTGCACCACACACAATTTTCCGATTACTGTAAAATGAAGAAATAAAAGCAAAATGTCGCTTGTTTTTTTATTTTATATCATTCCGCGGACCCCGTTATAAAAACACTGATGTGTTGAATACTTATAGGTCAAGAATCCTGTCAACGTTGTTTTCTGACGCGTTTGCGACTATATGCATTGATTTCAAGCATACTTTTCTTAAATTTATAGGTCTATTGTCTTTGAAAACAAGTATACCCTATTTTGTAGTCAACTCTACTGAATAGAGTGGAACAATGAGCATTCGTACTTCTTTGTCTATCTTTTTATCGTCAACCTCAGTAAATGGAGTGGAGCGCGAAAACTCGTATTTTCGTCTTTTCGAATTTTTTTTTACTAATGTTTTTCTCTATTTTAGCCTAAAACACAAGACAAAATTACTGCTTGCAAAGAATTGGCGTCTTATCAGAACGGCAAAACGAATTCTGTCTCGTTGGATGAGTTTCTTATCCCTTAAAGTCCTTAATTGTGTTAAGTAGAGAAAATTTAGTATCAATAGAAATTTGTTAAAGACTAGACATTTTCAGACAGTAGGGGATTCGCTTTATTATCATTATTGAATCGTTCATATTATTAGTTGCTATGGATGCATTTCTGAAAGGTAATTTGAAAGGGGCTTCCTTTGAAGCAGTTTTTTTTCTCTTTGGAGACTAATCTGATACCTTTAAGTTATTGCACAGTTGAGGGCTTCGATGTCGCTTAAACTATTCTTTTAAATTTTATAGCATTTATATCCTATATGTTGCTTATTAGTCAACATAAAGTATGCTGAAGGCCCTTTATGAATGGCAAAGTCAAAACGATCTGAAAATGATCTCATACGTGATAAATAAGCCTCTATAATTATGTATTTCTAGACTAATTTTCCTACATTTACTTTGAAAATTTGTCAAATGATAAGCAAATGGTAAATTTTGTATGGTTTCGGTTGTTAGAGATATGTGTATTGCAACACTTAAAGGCAAGAGACACATGTGACCTTTTGGTTCGGTTCCAACATCCTACCAAACTTCTCATTAATCCAGAGTGAGCAGTTCAGTACCACGCCGATCTTAGTGGATAAGAGACATTGAAATGATATATCGATAGATCTCCACAAGTTATTGGGCTACCTTTACGATTCCACGAATTAAATTCAATTCATAGTGCTATCTATATCAATATGCAGCCATATCGCTTTACGCCGACCGCTCTATGGTTATTTAGAAGAATTTAGTCTGTAAAATATTGTAATTGTCGGTGAAATATTTTATGTTCTAATGTCCTTCACTATTCTACAATTTAAGGAAACTTAAAGAGAAAAATCTTACTCTAAGGAATAAAGAAGAGAACCCTTTTAGATTCTGAGAATGATGAAGATCCATTCTCCATGTCGAACTCTTCCCTGTCGCTTGCAATATCGTTTTTCTTCGTAATGACAATGTGGTCAGCTAAGAACGAGAAATGGATAAATGCTTAGTTACCACCATCACAATCATCATCGATACCTTTCCTAAGATCATCACATCGCCTTCTCACCGGTCGCACTAATTCTCTCTCCATCGTTCCCTCCTATGCTCGTTCTTCCATTATGGTCTCAAACACCGTCACTGGTCTGGTTTACGAGAGGGAGAGATGAAGAGAGAGAAAGAGAGAGTGCCAACCACATCGTTGTTTTCCACTATCAATTTAACAATTGGTGTTCTTCAACGTCATACCTACTACGATCGCTATACCTACGTCATACCTATATCGATTGACGCGATGAACTCTAATGGTCTCAATGAACATCGAAAATAATGTCAGAGGCGCTTCGTTTCCTAAAACTTTGTCAAACGAAGTAATCTCATCGGTTCATTTCATTCACTTCGTTTATAATTACTGATAATAATTTGTGACAGAGTTTCCTTATTAAATGATCGTTAATGTGACGCCCGATGTTGCGCGTTCCAGTTTTTTCTTCATTCTTCACAAACGTCTTCTATCTATTGGAACGAATTTGAATTAGGAATAATCGTTGTTGGATCAATATCTACCTAACTGTAAAGGATTACAAACAGAAATATTCTTTGCTAGTGCTTAGTATGGATTTACTGCTAATGATTATGTGAATGTAGCGAATCTCTGAGAAGGAAGGAATGAATTCTGAGATCATGTAATCCTCTCTCTCTAATGATTTGTGGTTTTTGCGGTACGAATGGCTTTTTCGTATAGCAAGTCGTCGCTTTTCCTTTCCGCCAATTCCTTTCACTGTGATTCCACGTTTTTTCAGTGGGTGGATATGCCTACCAGTGATGAGTATGGTTGTACACTGGGAGAGCTACGCGCACTTATGGAACTTCGTGGTAGTGAAGCCCTTGAAAAGGTAAAAATGAGAAATATCCTCCCAATATGCTTCAGCTTTTTTTGTCAAAGTGAGATTTTTCCGTAATGAAAATTTTCAGGATTAGAGTCTATAAAGCGTGAATTTTCTACTTTTACTAGGTCGTTTTACAAAAGAATTTGTTGTGATACTCTCTAGAAGTTAGTCAATCAGAGGTTACATTGTTCATCCTCAAACATCGAGGTTGAAAGGTTTCTGCAGTATGAAGATGTAACGGTTTTAACCCTAAGCAGATAAGCTATTAGTAATTCAATACGAAAAGCCTTTAGAGTGATGATTGAGATTAGAAACGTAGAAGTACGAGTGCTAAAAGATGTCTATGTGATGATGATTCCCATACTGTTATTCCGTTATCATCAACTAATTCGAATCAAAGCTTACACTCTTGTTACGGTATTCAATGACTATGAGCTTTAATCGCATGCTGCCCAGATGTTCAGCGCATTCTACCCAATCGAAGCGATTGATTGTAGACGTAGATAATCAATACGGATCAATAACTATCGGCAATAAACACGTTTTACAACTCAGACGGGAGCTGAATGGAAACATTAAGTTTTGAACCATTAACTAAGCCTAGTTGATTCTAACCGATTTGGAAGTAAAACTGTGGAAATCGAAATGAACACGCATGAGCGGATGACGGCTCATCCTCTCTATGAGAATCACATGAATAATTAGAACGAAGTTGTTAGTGAGCCGCTACTTAAGAGTTACAATCATCAATATGAATGAGATGATTTGTTTTCCTGACTCTGTTTCTCTTCCTATCATTCTCCTTGTCTCAATCGCTCTCTGTATATCTTTGCTTCGCTCGCTCTCTCTGTCTCTCTCTGTGTCTTTAGCTTCGTCTGTGACTTCTTTCCAGTTGTCTCTCTCTGTCTATCACTCTGTTACTTTCCTAGTATTGTTCATGCTACTGTTTTTACTTCTACTGTTGCATTATAGATCATTCTATCCTCAAATTATCGAATGATCTGAATCGTTGGATGGATTCTGGTAATGAGACAACACGTACTGATCCTATACCATCTCTGACCTTATCGTTCTTTTTTCTCCTATCTTTATGTCGTTTATAACAATTCGAATAAATGAAATCTGAGTGGAAGAAAAGATCATTTTGTATTCATTCTAAATATTTTTTCGCGATTTTTACCGAAGAAAATTCTAAATAGTTCACGGAATTAACAAACCTTATCGATTAGTTTAGTGCAATTTGACCAGTGAGAAAAAATAAGCGCTGGGATTAAATAAGTGATATTTGGACGAGATTGTCTCTGGAATCTTAGTATTTAATGATGCATTGTAAAGACACAGTTTAAAATTACAATGTTTATCTGTCTATTCATTCATTTCCAAGCTTCGCAATAGTTTTTTATATAGGAATTACTCATCATCTAACTGAACAACAACATTTCTTCTTTTGTTGTTTTTAGATGTTTACAGTCGCTTAGTAAACATCATGGTCATGATCACGATCATCATCGTCATCATCTTTAGTTGTGATGCAAGACAATAAATGTAGCGATGAATCATCAGAATGATGTCGATCTCCTCAAAAGAAAGATAATCGAACACTCCATGGTAATGAAAGTCCCCGTTATGGCACGAAAACGGAATCTCTTTCCTTTTACATTTTTCAGGAGTATTAAGCTCACATTAACAAGGTTACCGTAACTTTTTAATATGCGTTCCTTCATCAATAAGCTAACACGAGGTTTACAAAAAAAAACTTTGTTCGGCCATCGTTTCGATGTCTTCGTCTTCCTCAGAGCCAATGATCGGAGTCGATGGTCGATAGCTCTGAGGGAGACGAAGACATCGAAACGTTAGCCGAATAAAGTTTATAAACCCTGTGTTAGCTTATCAACGAAAGAATACATGGTGAAAATTCATACTGAGGTTGAAGAAAAATCGGTTTCTTGAAGTATGTGATTTTTTTCTTCTTTATTTTTATTTTACACGGCTAGCCTTCACATCTGCTGCTCTGATACCAGCATCTCCTATATTTGATTCGTTTTCCTCGCATTCCTCACTTACGAGAGTCTTGAAACATTTCACCTATTGGCTCGACTGCTGCATGAGCATTGTGATCTTCTTTATGAATGCTGTTGAATGCTGATCGAATTGATTGTCGTAGAGTCGTGAGATAGGTAAGTTGAAGCGTTCCCACTTGGATTACAGAGAACTGTTATAAAAGAAAGTTTGGTGCCAATTTACCAACCCCGGAAGAGAGTTTGAGCCAACATCGTACACATGGTGATCGACATCACTACCACTCTGCCGCCTACACTCTGATTATTATCATTATTATGATTATTCATCATAAATATTGTTTTTTATTACCGTTATTATCGCATTGTTATTCGAACTGTTATTCTTTCTTTTTTAATGATAACATCATTTATTGAGTAGATAGATTCACGTAATTTGTGAACTGTTTTGGAATTTCACTATACCGCAGTGTAAAGTCATTTTTTCTTTACAACGGAATTCTCTTTACAACCTCAAGAATCATAGGGAAAAGTGTAAAATGTAGGATCGAGTAAGTGTAACAGTTAATTGAGAAGAATAGTATCAGGAAGCCAAATGTTAGTTGGAGGGAGCTATTTATTTGCTCCTTACCAGTTATATATTCAAATCGTCCGTCCAATGATGTTATATGGGCTCGAACGTTTTACGTTATTCCGTTGTTTCATCGTCCTAAACAGTGGGGAGAAATTCATGTTCCGTGTAAACCGGAGTGTAAGGCTTGAGGATTTGTCTACTTCTATCTTTTAACATACTCATTGTCGGTCGAATGAAGTTTCACAACTCTTTCCTGCCATAATATCTTATATGGTGAGCAACGCCGGCGAGCCCGCTGGCTTTTAAAAAGGCGCCACGTTTGTGGTGGTTTCGAACAGCCTAGGCAATTTGCGGCACTATTATTATGTGTGCTAAAAACAGTGGTGACCATTCTCGTAGATTAACTTATTTCGTCCTTTAGCTTTTTCGTATTTTCGTTAAATTAAAGAAAATGGTACTTTTTGAAAACTAATTGCCATCCATTGTGATCTACGGAAACTGCGCCGTAGGTTGCAATTTGAAGCAGTCTGATGTGATGCGGTTAGTAAACGTGAGGCTCTGCTCCAGTTTTCTTCTCTCGATCAATTTCTATGATATAATTGCTTCTTAGGTAAACTCCACATATGGAAGTGTGCAGGGACTTTGTTCGAAATTGAAAACGGACCCTATCAACGGGTTATCATGTGACCCCACCGAACTGCAACGGCGACGGCATGTATTTGGTAAAAATGAAATCCCAGCGTCAAGGTCAAAGTCATTCTTCCGATTAGCCTGGGAAGCACTCCAGGTATGGCTAGTTGGCATCTCTATAGATTCTACATCTACTTTTATTATTGTGATTTCGAAAAACAATGTATACATAGAATCACCAACTATTTTCCTCCAAAGTATCGATTTTATTTAAAAAGGTGTAGAAAAATAAAATTGAGGAACGAAACGTAATACCTACTCTCTTATATTCAGTCGATCTGTTTCAGGATATCACATTAATTATTCTTCTAGTATCAGCACTAGTTTCACTAGGATTGTCGTTCTATAAGCCGCCAGAAAATGTTGGAGGAGGTGATATTTGATTATTACCGTAATTGATTTCATTGTTTTTGAAGGTCGATTTCGAAAGGGTTACTGTAGAAAAATCGAGTTCACCCATGGTTTTAGTGTAGTTTTTATGAGCTGACAATGATAAAGTACGGAGGCAATCACTGGATGGGTGAAACATCCGAATTTACAAGTTTCTTCAAAAATAAGAAAGTAGGAAAAGGACAGGAAAAATACCAGAAATTGCAAGTGGCAGAAAAATGAAAATGAACGGTTCCGAGCCGTGTTTTGGTTGCTTTTTTAGCTTTTCTTTTACAATAATTTTACGGCTAATAACTGTTTATGTTAAGTCTCGCTGATTTCAAGTTTTGTGGTTATATTTGTGTCGTTTCTACTTTTTTGTAGCGATGCACTTTTTATTCTATAAAACCATGTAGGACACGACGATTCCGAGAAGGAAGCTGGTTGGATAGAAGGTGTAGCGATACTAGTAGCCGTCATTGTTGTTGTTTTAGTCACTGCTCTGAATGATTGGTCTAAAGAGAAACAATTCAGAGGTGAACACTTGCGTTATTCCAGTCGAAACCTTCGTCTATAACTCATTCGCAGTCTTTTAAGGGCTTCAATCAAAAATCGAAACCGAGCACAAGTTCTCTGTAATACGAGATGGCCAGCCGATTGATATTGTTGTTAACGAGCTTGTTGTTGGAGACATCGCTCGAGTTAAATACGGTGGGTGGTGTTTTTTCATAGTGAAAGTAGGTAGTCTAATACTCGTTCGAGTTTTTCCAGGTGATGCTTGATTCTCAATAAATTGGCTGTTTTTCTTTCATAAATGTTGAAAATTTAATGCACTATTTATAAGATCTCTCGTTCATCTCTAAATGTTTAAATATGGTGCTAAATCTAGGTGAAGTTCCTGATGTTCGGGAAGTTGTTGTTTTAAAGTTTTGCTTTACTTCATGATCGTGAAATCCCCAAATTGCTTGATTCTTGGTGTTATATTCTTTCGAGCTAACTGGAAGTATGAAGATTTGCTACATTGTTTGTGGAATATGGCCAAGTTATTATTGAATTGAACACCTTTGATTAATGATCATCAATATCAACATCTTAGAACTTAAACGATTTCTTCTAAAAATAAACCTTATCAAGCAATTTTTTGAGTGGGCGCAGGGAGCGGATTTGGTAGACATGCCGTTCAATAATGCGAGAAAGGTCGCCGCTCACTAGTTCAGCACCATCCTAGGCTAACAAGTTTGCCGTCGTTCCGAAACCGGCAGACTTGAACCATACATGTCTGAGGAAATCTCTGTGGGATCTAAAGCAGTTGACGACTGCCTATGGTGAACATGTCGGCACTCCTAGGCACGGCTATCGCAGGATTCCAGAGAGGATTTACTCGACCAACGTTGCATAGAATTCGTGAAGAGGGCCATGAATCCTCAAGTAGCAGCGAATTCACAATTATTAGATTCGAAAACCTTCAGGTTTGACGAATGCGAGAAACGACTGGAATGAAAGAGATCCTCGGATCCGCACAATATTTGGTTTTAATTCATGTAAATCCTAAGCTGAAATGAATGCATGAACGAGCTTCTTGTAAATTTCAAAATACTTGCAAAACATTCATTTGGAAGGGCGACATTGCCGCGAACGTTTATTTTTTGAATATTTCAGAAATGTTAGGTGAGATAGTTCCCAGGATCGACTTTCTCTTAACCTCGGCATTGGAATATGAATGTGTCGTTTTCTTGTTCATCAATCGCGAGGTTTTTAAACAGCATACATTTACTTCCATAAATACACAATACAATACAACGCTAGCTGACGTTTCGGCAGTAACGCCTTCTTCAGATCCTGGAAGGGTATACTGATACACAATCTACTAGGCCAAACGCTTCAATAACACTTACACAAAGACGAAAGGCTCTTTGGTAATTACACGATCAACGACTTCTCGAAAAACCCACCGCTTTTTTTGTGACTTCCAATGAGGAAGTTTAGAACAGCTGATTATAGTCGCATGTGGTTGACGACTGCACCATCCCACATCAAAAATCGATGCGAACGTACGGGATCAGGTCGCGTATGACCTCCGGGCATTCGTCCCTGCTATGCATTGTAGGGTTTTTGGCATTGATCCAAAAAGCCTCTAGGAGTTTTCGCGCTGGTGTTTTGGACTCCTGTGCAAGGATATTGACTTTTACTTCAAAATCGTCTCCGCTATGCTTTTGTATCCTATGCGTGCCTAGTGGGGTGCTTCGTCTTAGTTTTCGTTTGCCATCTAGGTGTTTTTTTATACGGATACACAAAGGTCTGCCCGTTTCGCCAATATATTCATCTCCGCAATTGTTACACGAGATCGGGTATATCGTACCTGAACTCATGCAATCACCGTCCCTGCCGTAAGGGCAAATTACGCAATTTGTTGTTTCACACAAACGGTCATACAGGCGGTTGCGAACTAATTGGCGACGTAGAGTAGCCGGTGGTATTTCAACTATCGCTACCGATTCCTCTAGACCTGCCCTTCTTANACAATCTACTAGGCCAAACGCTTCAATAACACTTACACAAAGACGAAAGGCTCTTTGGTAATTACACGATCAACGACTTCTCGAAAAACCCACCGCTTTTTTTGTGACTTCCAATGAGGAAGTTTAGAACAGCTGATTATAGTCGCATGTGGTTGACGACTGCACCATCCCACATCAAAAATCGATGCGAACGTACGGGATCAGGTCGCGTATGACCTCCGGGCATTCGTCCCTGCTATGCATTGTAGGGTTTTTGGCATTGATCCAAAAAGCCTCTAGGAGTTTTCGCGCTGGTGTTTTGGACTCCTGTGCAAGGATATTGACTTTTACTTCAAAATCGTCTCCGCTATGCTTTTGTATCCTATGCGTGCCTAGTGGGGTGCTTCGTCTTAGTTTTCGTTTGCCATCTAGGTGTTTTTTTATACGGATACACAAAGGTCTGCCCGTTTCGCCAATATATTCATCTCCGCAATTGTTACACGAGATCGGGTATATCGTACCTGAACTCATGCAATCACCGTCCCTGCCGTAAGGGCAAATTACGCAATTTGTTGTTTCACACAAACGGTCATACAGGCGGTTGCGAACTAATTGGCGACGTAGAGTAGCCGGTGGTATTTCAACTATCGCTACCGATTCCTCTAGACCTGCCCTTCTTAGGCATCGTTTTATAGCTACGCTTACTTCATCGCTCATAAAAGGCAACATGACCGGGACTTTCTTTTGGCCAAGTGTTTCGCGTGGGCGCGTCGTTCCCCTTGTAAACTTATCTCGTGGGGTTGCTATTTCGTAGCCATTGGAAATGGCTATTTGCCGAGCCAAGTCGCGCGATTCTTCCTTTAGTTCCTTGGTAGTGCACACAGAGGTGGCTGTTCGAAACATCTTTCTCACAATCGCTCTCTTTGTGTGTGAAGGGTGGGAAGAAAGGAAATGAACAAGGATGTTCTTGTTACTTGGCTTTCGATACCACTTTGTCAGGTAACCGCTACTTGATAGGTTTATTTGGACGTCCGAAAACGGAAGCCAGTTTTCTCTCGGTTTCTCCCGCGTGAACTTTATCTACTCGGACTACTCGTTCAATAATTCAAAGCATTTGTCCATCTCCTCCTGCGTAGAGAAGACGACAAAACGATCATCTACATCTACGTTAGATGAGATGTTAGGTTGGTACAAATGAAATCTGATTTTATTGCTTTGATTTTGCGTGCAATTTCTTTAAATAAAATTTTTGTTCATTATGCATGTTTTGTATAGATTTTTGGAGCACAAATCCCCTTTTCTATAGCCAGTACTGGTTTTTTTTCAAGATTTATTATTTTAACATTTTTATAGGCTTTACCTTTGGCATGAATCAACCCTACATTCGTGTCTTTTTTGTACGAATGGTGGTGAATCAACAGTGCGAACACGGTTCCAGAAATCCCGATTCGGTGATTTCGACCTCGAAGATAAGGAAGGCCGCGGATGTCCCAGTGAACTTAATGACAACGGATTGAGGGCACTGGTAGAGGCAAACACCGGAACAATGTTGAAAAGCTTGCAGAACAGCTTGGCGTAAGCACAAGAACAATTTCCACTCATTTGAATCGCATAGAAGAGATAAAAACTCGGCAAGTGGGTGCTGCACGAATTAAACGATAGTCAAAAAATCGCCGTTTCGAATTATCATCTGCTCTTATTTTGCGCAACAAAAACAACCCCTTTCTTGATCGAATTGTGGCATGCGACGAGAAATGGATTCTGTGCGACAACCGGCGACATTCAAGCTCCATGGTTGGATTGCAGTCAGGCTCCACAGCAGCTTCCAAAGGCGAAATTGCACCAAAGAGGTTATGGCTACTGTTTGATGCTCTGTAACTAGGCTGATTCATCACAACTTTTTGAATCCGGGCGAAGCGTTTACGGCAGAGATGTATTGCCAACAAATCGACGAAATGCACCGTTAACTCCAACAACAATGATCGGCACTGGTCGACAGAAAAGAATCAGTCTTTTTCTATGACAACGCTCGGCTTCATGCAGAAGTTGAACGAGTTGGGTTACGAAGCTTTGCGTCATCCGATATCTCCTTCATTAGACCTCTCGCCTATCGACTTCCACTTCCTCAAGCATCTTGACAACTTCCTGCGCGAGAAATGCTTCACCAACCACGATAACGCAAAAAATGCCCTCAAGAATTTGACGCTTTTGGAACTGCAGAATTGCTGATTCTAATGGTGTTTACTTCGGTTAATAGAAATTAGTAGGAAAAAAGTTACCATTATTTAAATTTTACTTTTAAAGTCGGACATTTCATATGTTACAACTTAATTATTCTTTGGACATGTGATTCTAATTTGTCCACATGCCCTAGGAAATTTCGAAGTACTTGAGAAGCTGAAAAACATTGATTAGTTTTCCCTCATGTATACACGATAAGGTTAAACCTTATTGGTTAAGAATGGTTTAAATTTTCTGCCGAAACATTTTGTCCTTTGAAGGGAACTATCACAGTAATTTTCTTCAGGCTGTATTGTTCTACGCAGCAAGTTTTTTTAAATTAGAAGGTGAGCTGCATAGTTTTTCCTCAAAAACAATATTCTTGCTAACTAATGCCACGTCATCACGACCGCGGTGCTGGTTCGTTCCCCCTCCGGGTTCACTACTCTCATCCCTCCGAGGCGTCGGGAAATTGGTACCGGACTTGTCCGGGAAGACACTCTATGCAATCCAATTGAGGAGGCTCCAGCTCGGCTATCTCAGGACTCCAGTGAGAATCGACTTGACCAGCATTCTACCACATACAAGATAAAATGAAAATCCTCGACCAGCAGTCGACGCCACTTGTAAAAGTTGGAGGACCTTAGAGGATGATGGATGCGAGGAATTGAATCGAGTGTGAGAAGTGCTGAGATCCGCACAGTAAATTTGAAGACGGGTCGTATAAAGTATAGTAAAAAAGGCACGTTACACTATATTTATAAATGAATTAAGAATGAAATGCCACTGGCACTCAACTGCTTCAAGTGCTGCAGAGTAAAGTGCTAATAAAATCAGTGAAAGAGTGATCATAGTGAACGTCATGCGATCAGAAGTTGTTCGTGCAGAAACGGTAGCTAGTTCGATCATGATCACAGGACAACCAAGCCCTCATGTAATTTTACTCAATGAATGTATCAAAAGGCAACTCAAAAATATAATTCTTAATAGAATCATTTTTTTAAATGAAGTTTATTAGTTTCTATTTATGGGCAAAGAAGTTTTGTTTTCAATTTTAGGTGACCTCCTTCCGGCCGACGGTATTCTGATTCAATCGAATGATCTGAAAGTCGATGAGTCGTCACTAACCGGCGAGTCGGACCTAATCCGAAAGAACTTCGATCATGATCCGGTGCTTCTATCTGGGACACACGCGATGGAAGGTAGTGGACGGTAAGCAATGAGAAACCATAGAGATTTTCATAAGCTTGTTCAAGTTAATCTAATACTCCATTGTTTCTATGCCTTTTGAAACTTTATTCATGCCAAGAACTCTCACAACATTGGGCTGGCTGCATTCCGGATTACTTGGAACCATTATATGAAATGCTAATTTTGATTTTAAAAAAAGTGCCAGTGCCAGAAATAACAATGACAAAGCTTAGGTTGTTTGTTGGTGAAGTTTTGGAGGATACATTATTTCTTATTAATTTTCAAATTCATCTGGAATTTTTTTGAATTTAGCTTTCTCATTACTGCTGTTGGTCCAAACAGTCAGACGGGAATCATTATGAGCTTGTTAGGAGCAACGAAAGAAGAGAAAAAAGATGAGAAGGAAAGCAAACTCGAGATAAATGGAAAAGGTATGATTACACCGACATATCTATCTTTTCTTTTTTTCTCTTCTTGCATTTTTACCATAATCATATCAGGTCATCCGTCAAAACTCAGCGTCGTTAATGGGCTGCCGCCTAGCGAAAATAAAAAGGAGCCAGAGTCGGTCGTTATACTCGAGGATGAAAGTAAAGGAAAATCAGTGCTACAGGCAAAACTCTCTAGTCTGGCCATTCAAATCGGGTACATAGGTGAGACTTATGGTGTTGTTCTTCTCATTATCACTCTTATCGATGGGAAAGTGTAAGGCAGTAGTTAGTACCTTGCAGCACACAGGGTCGTTGATTTGATCCGGCTCTCCGGACATCCCAAACCATCCATCCTTTCACATTTGGCAAATCGTTACCGGACAAGGATGGTAAGAAAAAACACTGACTTAATAAATCGTTAGGCTCCGGAAGTCATTGTGTAGACCAAATATGCATCCGGCCCCCTTTACGGTGCTACGAATGCACATTAATGCTTAGCGCATCCCTAATGGATTGTTCGGCATCGCTGTTTATTACTTGACCTTTTGCCGGTTCTTATTGCTGTTGATATTACCAGTGATAACGTCTCGTTTTACTGAAATTAAATGAAACCTGAAAACGGAATCATTTTTATGAAGAAGGTAGAAACTCCTTCTTTCCCAAGTCCAATCGTGGATGGAGGTACTCATACAGGTTGAACTGCGGTGAACGTCTACCCCCATTGCTAGATAAATCGAGTCTGAAAAGGAGTATCTAGAAGTCGATCCTTGAGTCTTAGGTTTAGTGGACGGACGTCATATTTACCAGATCGCTGGTCTCTCCAAGCTGTGGTAACTACGCCATGCAGACATCTCAGTTTTCAATTTGTTTAACATATGGTGTGTTTTTCATTCGGATTTTCGGCCGAGAGTCCTTCAGTAAAATTAGGCCTGAAATTGATTGGAAGAACGGTGGAAGAATCATGGAATCACCAAACGCTCTCGCTGAGCTACAGCTCTTCAGTCGGAAGTTGTGGCGATTTGAGAACGTCATGGCGTGGATTTCTCGATATTCAGGGGAACAGTCTATTGCCAATCTAGCAAAATTAGAAGAATCTGCCACGATTAATAATTTTACAGTTAATGGATAATCAATATAATGTGTTTTAAGCATTCAACAATAACGATTTTGTAAGTGTAGGAACTGAATTGTTGCACATTAAAGGTTCTATTGTGGCGGCGGCAACAGTGCTTATCCTTATAATCCGTCACTGCATCACCCATTACGTTGTCAATCACGAGTCTTTTAAGGTAATCCGACTATTTTTATATTTTATTTTGTTTTCGTTACCGCTTATGTTGTCATATAGGAATGACTTCCACTGAAAACAAATCTAGTTCCATCTTAGAATCTTGAGATTTATGGTAGTGGCTTCAATAAGAAAAAAAATTCTTCTTTAATTGTTTCCGATTCTTCAAATGCTTTTCTTAAAATCTAGATTCACTATCGAAAAAAATAAGAAAGTTGGTGGATTAAAACTAGACATTATTCTAGACGTCTGATCTCGCGTACTTTGTGAATTTCATAATTATTGGTGTTACGGTATTGGTAATTGCCGTTCCGGAAGGACTTCCGCTTGCCATCACCTTAGCGCTCACATATTCCGTGAAAAAAGTATGTTATTCAGAGTTATTGGTTTTCAGATTATCTTAATTATCACAATAAAGTCCAGAATATCCGGAAATTCTGCTAAGTTGAGAGAAAACTACATTAATTCGGTTCTCGATCATTCTTAAATGGAAAGTGACGGAAATAGTTCGTGTTTGAAGTTAGAAATGTTTTGTATTAAAGCTTGTTTCTGTACGCTAAATGAAAGTTTTTCGTTTATTAATGTTTTAAAATAGTTATTTTCTACGGACTTCTCTTGAAGTAGTTTTTTGTCACACGTTACTTGAGTTCACAAATTTCGCTTATCTCGGCACTTTCTTCATTCGCTTCGTCGTCTCTCATCCACCTTCTTTAATGAAATTCCTCGAATTTATGTGTTTATTCGACAGCTTCTTAAAGACTTAATCTTCCTAAATTTTATTGATTGGCAGTCAAGTAGATTTTTCGCAGAGTCATGGGATAACCGTGCTATTGCGTTGCCAGATCTTCATCAGAGGCAATCGTCAACCGTTGTAGTTCTGAGCGAGCTATCCTCATATATGTATGGTTCTACTTTTTCGATCCGGAAGTGATGAGAGACTTATTTGGTCCAGGGCCAGCTGCAGCCAGAGATTATGCGCATAGTACTGGATGACGCTTCTAATTAGTGTTCTTTCTCTGCGCTTGAAATAGTTATGTACTCGACAAAATGTACGAAAATATCAGCACAACTTGATTTAAGAATCTATAACATAATATGAGAAGATAAAAAATGACTTATATTTGCACATGTAAGACACATTGAAGCATTTCGCATGCTTCAGAGTCTGGAAATGTCAAATTGACACACGGTCTACTTATCCAAACACCTTCGTGAAACAAGCAAAGGAAGGCTTAATGCATAAACTTCATCTGTATAGTAAGTTTTATGTGAAATACAGTCACAAGGTTGCTGAGTTATGAGCAAAATTCGGATCCTCAGGTGCGCTTTGGACCCGCTATTACCCTTTTCAAGGGCCTTCGTTGGCACACGTGAGCCACTGGAAAGGGTACTCACGCGGGTTCGAAGCTCACCTGGTGTCGCGAGTTTTGCTCTTATCTCAGTATCGTTGTGGTTGTAGTTCATGTGGCACCCTGCCATGAAAAAAGAATGGACAGCAAATAAAAAGTTAGAGGTCACCGTTTTCTTCTTTGTGAGTCTTCCAGTTATTTGTTGGAGACCTGCCGCACAGATTCGCACATTCGTGAAGATTGTGCTTGGCTCAGGTCTAAAACTTAGCCTGAGGTATGGCCGGTGTTGAAGTAAATCGTGTTATTGATAACCTCGTATCTGTTCAAGAATAAAAGACGGAGTAACCGAACAGTGCTGCGGTGAATAAAAAGTCGGTCTTCGGAGGTGAAGTATTTATTTGAAATATTTCGAACGTGCTTGTCAGATTAAAATTTGTATAGTTATTTACGACGATTCTATACGGTATCCGCAGATGTTGCTCATATTATTTGAATGTTTGTTTACATATTTCGTGACGTTATAACAGATTTTATACAAAATCACTGTTTCTTCGACGTTCTGTGAGAAAGAAAGAAAGAGAAACGTTCTGATGCCACTTTGTACCATATTTTTTTTTATTATAACGATAGCGCTAGAAGTAAATTGCTACAATACACTAATCGTCATGCTAATGGAGTTATCTGAGAGAATTTCTTTCCGACCGAACTGATTTGTGGTAAAGGGTCGAGAACGCTCTCGGACAGAATTCAACGGAATTTATGAGGAAGACGAAATCCTTAAGTAGATTCATAAATAAGTAATTTAATAAACAGAATGCACCGTTTTCTTGTCCAGCAATCGTGAGGTTTTTAAACAGCATACATTACTTCCATAGAAAAACACAATACAATACAACACTAGCTGACGTTTCGGCAGTATCGCCTTTTTCAGAGCCTGGAAGGGTACACTGATATACAATCTACTAGGCCAAACGCTTCAATAACACTTACAAAAAGACGAAAAACTCTATGGTAATTACATGATCAACAGCTTTTCGAAAAACCTCTTTTTTCGTGACTTGCAATGAGGAAGATTAGTATACCCTTCCAGACTCTGAAGAAGATACATAAGATACTGCCGATACGTCAGCTAGTGTTGTATTGTATTGTGTTTCTCTATGGAAGTAAATGTATGCTATTGAAAACCTCAGGATTGCTGAACAAGAAAACGACGCATTCATATTCCAATGCCGAGTTTAATAGAAAGTCGGTCCTGGAAATTAATAAACAGATTTAAGTTATTTGTAGATGAGAAAGGAAGCAAATGGTGAAATCAAAAACTCTAGGAAGGAATATGAAATAAAAATTCATGTCAGATGATGAAAGACAACAATTTGGTTCGACATTTGGACGCTTGTGAGACGATGGGCAACGCGACAGCGATCTGTTCTGACAAGACTGGTACTCTCACCACAAATCGAATGACCTGCGTGCAGTCCTACATTAACGGTAACTCTTGTAACTTTTATGTTTTACTACAAATTTTTTTTCATAGATTTTCGCTTTTGTACATTAAATTAACTAACTAGCTAGATGGAGTTAAAGCGTTTTAACCTTTAACTAACAACTTTTCGAAGCACACAGAAATGAAGCTCTATTTGGGGCGCGTTATCTTAAGTTCAATCAGCCGTCCAGTAGAACCAAGCCCTTTGTCGTTCAGCTCTATGAATTCTAAGCAGACCCGAAGAATAACAAAATTAGTTGTTTGTCGACTGACCTTCATCGTGAAGACGTTTGTTATCGCTGAATTAACATATACGTGACTTCTGGCTGGAGACCTCTTGGGATAATGCCTAATTAGTCGCTAAACGCCGAGGCGCCTCCACCCTAGGTCAGGGACATTTTGGAAAATCCATAGGGTAAAGGAAAGAACGGAGAAGCAAGTGATTCATAAGTGACTCATGCCGTCTATAGTGTGTCCATTAGTAGATGGGATACATCTATAATGATTTGATAACAGCTGCGAATTCTATTTATGTGAAGGATCTTCAGGCCATACATCGTTAGCATACCTGGTGTATATGCATGTGAAACCAAATCACTGCAAATTTGTTTCAATATGTCATCTTGCAAGAACTAAACCTGATTCCAGGCGGCTTTTACAAAACACAAGCACCATCGTACGAGCTTCTTGACAGGAATACTCGCGAGCGTTTAGTGGAATGTGTGTGCATCAATTCCGGCTACAGCTCGCAGGTTCTCCCTCCGCCGAAACCAGGAGATCAGCGACAGCAGGCAGGCCAACAGTTCTCATCATGGGTTTTTTTGTTTTATTTCTCTCATTTTTTACTGTGCCGTAAGCTTTACGGTATTGATAAAGCTCTTGATGAACGATCAAACAAAAATCCGGTTATTAAAATGCTTGATAGTAGACGAAATAGAACGTATGCCTTAAATTTCCCCATGTTTTATTCAGAGCAATTCAGGTTGGGAACAAAACCGAATGCGCCCTGCTTGGTTTTGTGCTCGATCTCAATCAAAACTATGAGGAAGTGAGAGCCAAGCATCCGGAAGAGACGCTGTTTAAGGTAAATTTCTGTCCATAGTCAATATTTTGACCAAGATATCAAGTGATATGATAAGCAAAAAGGTCGAGCGTACACGAAGGAAATCGATACGGATCGATCAAAGCTGCTCCCAAATCCACAGTGCAGTTTTTTGTCATTTATCGTATAAATTTATTGCTGCAGAGAAATGCTGTGCTTGTTCAACTATTGCTCTTCTTCTACATTTTTCACAGTTCAAAGTCTGTATTTCATGAAAGTCATAAACTTCAAGGTTCAATAGAGTGGAAATTAGTTAAAAATTTGAGAGAATGAAAAAATCTGCGATGAAAAATGAGCTGCTGCTTTTTTGCTCCTTGTGACACGAACGTTTACTGCTTACTGAGTAAGAGGCCTCTTCGAAAACAATAATGAATATTTGGCTAATTATGTGGTAAGTGCATGTAGGGCAATAGTAAAAGACACTCTCCGATACTTAGTTTGTTCTACCACTCCCTAGAGCTAACCATGCTTGGAAAATTGGTACCGTACCTATCTGGAAGGATAAAAACACCTACTTGACTTCAACGGGCCCTCGCAAAGTAACTGCGGTCTGTCATAGCCTAAATATTCCTCCAATCACCGCCATGAGGGCGCGAATAGAATCGAAGTCACAGCGCATCTATAGGAGATTGATCACGACAAACGCTTTGTATTTTCTATGCAAAGCAATTGAGTTTTCCGCTAGCAGTTTAGCGACTACCCACCGCAATGGTTGCTTCATAAACTCCAGCATGAAGTCAAATTATGTACTTCATTTTAAAACTGTGTGTCGTGGAGTAAACAATTCTGTGTAATATTGGCTATAAATAAATGAATGCGTTCTTACCTTGGAAAAGAGCTTATTTAAAGCTTCATTTATCCTCACGACGAGTATCTTTTTAATTTAGAACTTGCATATGTCGTTTTCAGGTTTATACCTTCAACTCGTCGCGAAAATCTATGATGACTGTAATAAAGTTGGCGAATGATGTCTTTCGTGTGTATTCTAAAGGAGCGTCCGAAATTATTTTGAAAAGGTAAACTTACACATTCTTTATTACGTCTATAGCAAAAACTCGGCGTATTACATAGTACTCAAGAGTAGAATCCTAGTCGCAAAGTAACAAATTTCCATCCGATCCATGCGGGGCAACATTCGTTAATTCCGAGGACCTGGATATCCTCTAGTGCGGTTATATGGAGATAACGCTCGTCTAGTACTTAATATTTGAATTAGGAAGAAAGTTGTTAAGTTCTGATTCTCTAATCGTACCCAAGCGCGAATCTGACCACAAGCATGACGAAGTAGTGAAGTCCTAGCGTCCACACAGCATGTGAGATCTTCTAGGAAGACAATGAATTAGTAGAACTTTCTAGCGCTGCGTTCCGCAGTATCAACAAAGAATATTAAAAGCATAGCAATTAGTAACTTTGGTTTTATAAGGAAAAGGTAACGAACTAACGTGGAATGGACTAAAGTATTTTTTGTACATCCACAGTAATTCGTGCATAAACAAATTTCTGACAAAGATGGTTAATTTCTATCTTCCTCAATTTCTAATCTGTGATTCTAATTCGAAAAAGAATTGATCTGGAGCGAAGTAGCAGTTTTCTCCCATATGCTATGGAAATGACCTGAAACCAATCCCTTCCAGCTGTTGATTGTCAACTAATGCTACATGGAGTCAGTAAACTCGACAGTTATATCCTTGTTTTCTAAGAGTTGTCTATTTGTTTCCGCTCGTTCACGACAGAGCTCTTTCCAGATAAAGTGGTCTCTTCTTTAAAATAATTAAAAGTTAACTGAGCTATAACCTTTATTAGCAATTAAGCTTCATTTACTGAAATCTTGTTTCATAAACTTGCGATAATTTTTTTCTGTTTTCTAAATTTTCTCTAAAATCGTTAACTATCAGGTGCTCGTACATTTTTGGTGATGCTGGGACGATCCAGAAGTTCAATTCTGGTCGAGTTGCTGAATTGACGAAAAATGTGATCGAACCAATGGCTTCGGATGGTTTAAGAACGATTGGGTTAGCCTATAAAGATATGGTACCTGAAGGAACGAAAACTGAAGCTAATCAGGTAACGTTACAGATGTTATGATAACTACCTTTTCACTGCAATCACTGTTTGAGAACTTGCAGTTAACAAACCATGTAATGGAACTTATGATTATCACTGGGACTTTGTAATGTTACTTCGTAGACCTAAGTAGGACAGTTTTCAATTCTCTGAAATTCGAATAGTTGGAATCGGTCCTTGTTGTAGACTTAGGATGGGTAAAGGACAGAAAGGGCCCTGATAAAAACCCGCTACGCTTACATTGCTTTAGAGTTATAAACAGTTAAAGTAAGCGCACAATTACAACCAAAATGATGCTGAGATATTTGCAAAACTCCGGACCGCTGGTGTCAGCGGTGGAGATCGAAGATGCTACTACCTTTTCCGGTGGTTAACATTTTCATCACTACACCATATGAAGTCCTTCGTTTCTACTGTCTCTCATTTAGTTTTCTATCTAGTAATGCCATCAGTAATCAACCGTAAATGGAATTGATTGGGGGAGCACGAATCGACAAATCCAGTTAAGACGAGGCTATAGTTGAAATCACAATGTTAACTTTTCACTTACTTACTTTAGTTTAGTTTTGCAACAATTTTTCACGGCACGATATCATAGAAAACTAGATGAAAAAAAAGCGAAACGAAGGAGATCGCATGATGTGGTGGTGAACGCGTTAGCTCCCGGAAAAGGTAATAGCGTGTTCGATCTCCACCGCAGACACCTGTGATTCGGAGTTTTGCAAATATCTCAGCATCATTGTGGTTGTGATTCACATAATACCCTGCTGAAGAAAATTGTAGTAGGCAGCAAATAAAAAGTTAACATAAGTGCGTAATTCTTATTTGTGGTCTGTGATTTGGATTCTTCTCGTCGACTCTGTATAATTAAAGAAACCACAATGATGCAAGTTTCCTAGATGTTTGTCTGAAAATCGTTTGCCTTCACATTCTGTAACTTTTTTTCTAAACCAATACTTCCCAACGTTTCTTTGTGCAATTTTTACAACTTGGTTTTAAAAAATCTTGCAAATAAATAGAATCCAGGTTGAGTACAGCCATGAAATTGATTGGGATGACGAAGAAGTGGTGAGGAATGGCATGACTTTGATCGCCATTATGGGTATTCAAGATCCAGTACGTCCAGAGGTATGGATTGGCAATCGATAATGATAACAAATGATGTTAAACAGTCGTGTTATGTTACTATAAATAAATCTGCTTGAAAAGTGAGTTATTTCAGGTACCAGCAGCTATCGAAAGATGTCAACGAGCAGGAATCACTGTTCGGATGGTGACTGGTGATAATATCAATACGGCGAGATCCATAGCTACCGCTTGTGGTATCCTGAAACCTGGAACTGATTTTCTTGCGCTTGAAGGAAAAGACTTTAACGCCAAGTTAGTTCAATGTTCTCGCTTCCCTCCTTGGCTACATGAGCATCCATGCTAGTAACCTATGCCGGAAGATCTGCAGCGATTTTCTAATGAGGCTAAAATCAATATCTGAAGTGTCTTATTGTTTGTAAGTTTTGTAAGCATTTCATCCTCAGAATTCGTGACGAAAACGGCAAAGTGAGTCAAGAAAAACTGGATTCAATTTGGCCGAGGCTTCGAGTTTTGGCACGAGCGCAACCGTCTGATAAGTATGTACTCGTAAAGGGCATCATCGACAGCAAAGTCTCTAAAAACAGGTGACTAAAAAATTTTAATGGACGATTAAACAAGTTTTTCCCTCTATTTGGGAGATTTTAAATGTTGCAGTGTAAAAAAAAATTGAAGCGATTTTCAAGCAAAGATGAAAAAAGGTAAAACAAAAATGATAAATGGTGAGATTCTCTTTCAAGATAGTGGAGGATGCAAAGTTTTCTGTGTAATATTATTTTACCAGAAATTATTGAAAAGTATAAATTGGTAACGTTTTGGTTTCAGGGAGGTGGTGGCTGTTACAGGAGATGGAACAAATGATGCGCCTGCGCTTAAAAAAGCAGATGTTGGATTCGCAATGGCAGGTTTCATAATAGGTTTTGTGTAGTGCTGTGGTTAGAGGTGCCGCGCAATGTATACGTACTTGCTGGTTCGATCCCATGCTCTGGGCCGTCCAAATCCTCCATCCTTCCAGTTTTGGAAGATTAATACCTGACCTCTTTGGGCGGACAGAAGACACTAGTTTGATACATTGCTAGGCCACTACCGAAAGACAATGTATTCGCCAGTATGCATTGAACCACCTCTATAAATTGGCTCGAATGCATAACGCATCTCTGAGGAATTCATAAACGTCGAACTTCTTTCGTTTTACTTTTATTTTTTTACTCTGTTTTTAATTTTTATAGTATTGACATAGAATATTAGGATTGATGTGTAAATTTAATATCATCATCAACGTTTTCTTGTTCAGCAATCGCGAGATTTTTAAACAGCATACATTTACTTCCATAAAAGCACAATACAATACAACGCTAGCTGACGTTTCGGCAGTATCGCCTTCTTCAGAGCCTGGAAGGGTATACTGATATACAATTTTTTTGATTTTTGATGTGCGATGGTGCAGTCGTCAACCACATGCGACTATAATCAGCTGTTCTAAACTTCCTCATTGGAAGTCACAAAAAAAGCGGTGGGTTTTTCGAGAAGTTGTTGATCGTGTAATTACCAAAGAGTCTTTCGTCTTTGTGTAAGTGTTATTGAAGCGTTTGGCCTAGTAGATTGTATATCAGTATACCCTTCCAGGCTCTGAAGAAGGCGATACTGCCGAAACGTCAGCTAGCGTTGTATTGTATTGTGTTTTTATGGAAGTAAATGTATGCTGTTTAAAAACCTCGCGATTGCTGAACAAGAAAACGACACATTCATATTCCAATGCCGAGGTTGAGAGAAAGTCGATCCTGGGAGCTATCATCATCAACATCTGAATGTTGCCATTGGTTAAAAAATTAAGACTACGATCGCAGTGATCGTTTTGGGAAGATTAAACAGAATTGTACTCTTTGCTATAAGAATTGATTGATTCCAATCAGTTCAACACTGTAAAACATCTCCTGCGCTTAACAAAGAGTGTGTAACTACATCTGAAATGACTGGAAAATGGAAATCGAGATTGTGTTTTTCTAGGGCATTGCGGGTACGGATGTCGCCAAGGAAGCGTCTGACATCATTCTCACCGACGATAATTTCACATCTATTGTGAAAGTATGTTTTTTACTATATTCATACCAATACAGCTTCAATTAGTGATATCGTACTGACTTTTTTGATCGATGTTACTTAATTTCACTTAAGGCAGTGATGTGGGGTCGGAACGTCTACGATTCCATCTCAAAATTCCTTCAATTTCAATTAACGGTGAATGTCGTCGCTGTCACTATCGCCTTTATTGGAGCCTGTGCTATCAGCGATTCCCCTCTTAAGGTTTGGCATTTGGCATAGCAATAACATTCATCTGTAATGTATATATATATATTTACATCTAGATATAGATATACATATACATATATACATGCATATACATATATTTTGCTACTGTATGCCAGTGCGATGTAGAATATTTGAAGGTAACATTTTAGTACAATGCATAATAATGAATTGTTAAACCGTATTTCATCTCAGTATTATGATTGCATTCAATCACTTCCAAATGATACTTAATGAAGTCGAATGCATGGGGCGTCCCTCAGGAATTGATCAATGCCGAGAACTTTTAGTTTTTTGGGAAGCAAAAGTTGAAATAAATAGAAATAAATAAAAATGTCACAGAAATAGTATGTCATAGTTTAATCGGGTTTTGATCGGCTTAAAAGCTTTTTTTTTAAATCTGTGTTATGGATTGCAGTGCTGATAGAGCAGTTTTAATTTTGATTCGCAGCTCCGACTTTCCGTTGAACTTAACATCGATTTGTATTCCTACTTTGATGAGCTTACGCGAGGTTGATAATGTTATTTGATACGATACGAAGAACAAGCGTGGACCATCGACTCGGACCATCGGCTCTGAGGAAGACGAAGACGTCGAAACGTTTGCCGAAAATAAATATCATTATCAACCTCGTGTAAGCTCATCAAAGGAAGAATACATATTGATTAGTGATATCGAGGTTCAAGAAAAGTCGGTTTCGAAATATTTAACATCGATTGTTAAATCACTGTTTTCTCGATGAGCAAACATGAGGTTGTCAATACTATAGACAGTAATTGTCGTATGGACTAATTTCTCCCTCCTCAGAGCCTGAAAAGGTCAAATTGACTGCAACCAAGTCCGCCAAGTACCTCCATAACCCTAACAGAAAAATCACGAAACCTCTCATTGTTAGCAAAACATGCAGATTGCAGATTAACCGTTTTCTACGAGTCTTTCACTGAGTATTCTACGTGGAGACCAACCGAAGGACTTGGAGAGTAATCGACACCTCTTACGTTAAAATATCAGTCTCAAATGTTGTTTAAGATCTCGCATATTAATGTGACATTGTCACTTGCGGTTCATTTTTGGATTACTGCAATTTATTCAAAACGTTTAGGGTGCATTACGATTTGAAATTTTACTCCTAAGCGAGGATTATGACAGCTACTTCAGAATCTGCATCGTAATGTGTCTGTGTTCTATGTGGTATTTGGTCTAACGTTAATTTTACGGGTTAGATATTCTTTTATACGGATGCAAAGTCGTCTACTCCTTTCGTCGATGTATTCGTCTCCACACGCTTTACAAAAGGTCAGCTTAACCGTACCCGAATTCGCATCTCTATATCCAAATTCGGTTGTTCACTGGCAGTCAAACAGATCGTTGCGAACAAGCTGGCTTTTGGAGTATTCGATAGTGATTCAGTCACTGCTATCGATGTCTATAGATTCGCCTTTTTAGGCAACATTTTATTACTCTGCTTACTTCGTTAAAAATGAAGGGCAGTATAAACGGGATCTTATTCTCGCTGCACCTATAGTTTGGTTCATTGTTCTTCCTCTACATCCATCTCGAGGTGCTACCGTTTCGTAGCAGGTGGAAATGGCTATTTGTCGCTCAAATCTGAGGAATTTCTACTCCTGATCTCTTTCTGTGCACAAATTTGGTGCTATTCGAAACGTATATTTGGTGGCTTTTCGGAACTTGTTTCTCACAAGCTCGCTTTTTGTGTGTACGGGGTGAAAGGAGAAGTAATGAGCTAGCATTTTTTGCTAATTGGCTTTCCGTACCATTTGGGGACGTAGCCGTTTTCGAATAGATTAATTTAAGCATTCAGAAATGGAACCTTTCTTTCGGTTTTTATAGTGTTAATTCAATATGCTCTAACTGTTCGTTCATTAATTCAAAACATTTTTATATACCCCCTCATGTGGAATAGACGATAAAGCAATCATTTCTATATTTACGGTGAGGTAATGGCAGGAGATCAATTACTGGAGCTTCCACCTTATATATAAAGACGATGGCAAGGCATGGTGATTGTCGCTGTTCTATTGTCAGCACTCTCATGTGTGAGTAATATTTCCGAGACCATCCGAAGATTGGGTAGTTTGGACATTTCGTTAAGAGGGACATCAAGTGATGAATCAAGAAGCCGTACATGTTTATTGCTTCTTCTTGTTGTATGAGGAGTTCGAGATGGCTTACATAGCGGAGTCATTCGACACGTTTTCATAAAGGACGCTAACGTCAAAGGGCTCCATTACGCTCTGTTAGGGCACGTGGTACGTAAACGATCCAGGAACCTGTGGGTGTTGATGAGATGGACTGGAATGTGTTTAACCAACCGGTTAAGTGTTAAGGTCAAAAACCATTCCGCCTATACTCCTGAATATGGATCTGATCTTGAATAATGATGAATTGGTAAGCGTAAGATCATCATTGAATACCAACTTATGTATTATTTCTTTGATGAGCTTACACGAAGTTGATAATAATATTTATTTTCGGCTAACGTTTCGACGTCTTCGTCTTCCTCAGAGCCAATGATCCGAGTCAGTGGTCCACGCTTGTTATTCGTCTCGATGTGGCAGCTTCGCCTTCGTATCAAGTCAGGTCTTCCTTAGCGGGCCATCTCCTCGAATGAGGCATCCTCACTCAGTGATGCCCTTTTATGCAGGTTGCTGATGGTGGATAGCTGTGATCGTTCGGTAATAGTGTGATAATAACTTGTTTTCCCCAGACAATCCAACCTGCAGAAGTTGGTGTTATTATCAGCTAGCACAAAACGTAGTAATATTTCGAAACCGACTTTCCTTGAACCTCGGTATCACTAATCAATATGTAATCTTTCTTTGATCAGCTTACACGAGGTTGATAATAATATTTATTGATAATATAGAATAATGTTGATAATGAAATATTACTAACTTATGTGTCTTGATAAACAATTAAATAACAGGACATGTTGTTGGTCCAGATTTGAGTTGAGAAAATAACTAAAATTTTAAGCTATCTGTTTTTGTCACTTTTACTCGTACATTTTTCACTTCTCAGTATTGACATTAAATTCCTTTCTGATGATGAGAAAATTGATATAAGGAGAAGCAAATTGAAGATGTTTTTTCGTTATCTCAACGTTTAAGTGGTTCCTAGTTCTCTTCAACGCTGTTATTTCTCGAACCAGTTGTACACCAAATTATCGCGCTATTGCGTGGTTAAAACTAGGCTTTTTCTCGCAGTGGTGATTAAGGATTTCGAGAGTTTCGTCCGAAAAAATGCAGCTATTGATGTATAGTTCGCCGTTATGGTCCTGCTTTCTGAATAACACTTGGGGAAACGGCGGTAATGGTAATGCTTCTACGTCCTGCTGTTCATTACCAATTAGTGCACCAAGTCTAGTTTTTTCATTGAGTTTACCTTGAAGCTTGTGCAAACTGCATGCGATCCTAAGCAAGGATACTTTAAAAATAGGTTCAGCTGGCAGGAGACTTGGGCGCAATAATAACAACGAGCGTGCACCGTCAGTAAAAGCTATGCCTCCTAATACAGTAACCTTTGACTTTTTATTTTGCTGTCTAAATATTTTTCTGTTCTATTTCTGGTTTTTATCAAGTCTGCTCAATAAGTCTTTTTTTAAAGGCAGTTCAAATGCTATGGGTGAATCTGATTATGGACACATTGGCATCGCTAGCATTGGCAACAGAAATGCCAACAGAGGACCTCCTTGAAAGGTATACGGTGTCTTTTAGGTATACAGAAAACTTTTTCCCAAGAGACTAATTTTCTTTTTTACAGGAAACCTTATGGTCGGACAAAATCGCTAATCTCACGGACCATGGTTAAGAACATTATCGGTCATGCTGTTTATCAGCTGATTGTTCTTTTTGGAATTATGTTTTGGGGTCAGTTTTCCTTTAGAAAAGTCATACAACTCAGGTGAAAAACGGAACAACGTTTATTCATGAATCATCGATTTTGGAAGTAGTTCATATACTTGGATACTCGAATTGTCAGCCTTCACTGGCTTTTCCGGCCACAGCATAATTTCCATTCTCCGGCGTTTTGCTGATTTAGCCATTGTGGTTTCCTGAAGTCCCGAGGTCAGCCTACCCAAAGTCCGACCCAGCTGATCACCACCACAAGCAGTCACCGCCTTTGTGGATCCTAGCGAGATTTACTTCCATGAAGCTAGTTTGATATCAGGACGTGGCGGATTCAGGTATTGGCTACTCTTAGCTGGACTTCCTGATGGAAACGCCGGACTCCTCAGTTTGGAAGGCCCTGTTGGAGGGATGATCCTCCCGCTGCACATCGCAGCCCGACATCCAGGAACACCTTCCAGCTGCAATGAGGTGGTAAACCGTTGGAAGGTTGGAAGTAGTTTGAAATCTTTTCGTTTGAACACCACCAGAGATGTACCTCTTAAAAAATTATATCAGGAAAAGAAACTCAAGAATGAACAAAACAAGGAATGTCCTAGGTCGAAAGAAGCAAGTTGAATTGTTAGAAGTGTCGACTTGGAAAACATGTCTATGTAAAGAACAATGACCGTTTCGCGCTAAAAAATAAGATTTTCGTCATTTATTGGTAGTAATTCAAGGGAAGAAGTCATGAAACGGCTTACATAAGTCGGCCTACCTAAATTCCTCCAAGAATTTCTTTCTTTATTATGACTCCGTCAGGTGATAAGTTCATCCCGGACACACCGTCTGGCAGAAATGCACCATTGGGATCACCGCCAAGTGCTCATTTCACTATCATCTTCAACGCTTTCGTTTTGATGACGTTATGCAACGAGATCAATGCCAGGAAGGTTCACGGAGAACGCAATGTGTTCAAGGTGGGTAACATTTTAAGACCTTTCCGGAAAGACACTTTGCATTAAAGGAATCTGTCAAAAATCCTTGCATCCAAATTTGATTTTCAGAACATTTTCAACAACTTTTAAGGAACTGTTGCTCTTCATGTTTTTTTAACTAAAGCACCTATTGACGCTAGATTTCTTCTTTTAATGCTGGATATTTTTTATCAAGTTTTGAGAGACACTCAACTCATGAACTTAAGAAATAGTTGTTGGAAGATTCAAGACAAAAGTAGGTGATTACTTGTGAAGAGTCGTAGTAACCACATGAAAACCCTTTGCAGTTGATCATTCCTTTTGAGATCTATCCCAATCGTCCAACTCAATTGGATAGCATGGCAGAGGGGGCTGAGCGCAAATTGACTTTATAGAATGACTTGGAGAGGTTTGCCGATAAATCAAATCAGGATTTTAACTGCGCAGACATGTTTAGTATCATTACCGATTACGCAGAGATCCAGGGCTAGTTTAGCTTGGCACGCGGATTGAACTAACAACCTAGTCTTAACCTTTTTTATTTACTGCCTATTCCTTTTAACGGCAGGGTATGTTGCGAAATATAACTCCTATAATGCTGAAATATGTGCAAAACTTCGGACCGCAGGTGTCTGCGGTGGGAATCGAACGCTTTATTGTCATTTCCGGAGAGTAACACGTTCACCACCACACCATGCGGGTCCCTCGTTTCGCCTGTCTCTTAGCTAGTTTTCTATTGATCAGTGCCATCAGCAATCACACGTCAAAGGGATTGATTTGGGGAACCTAAATCAATTGAATCAGTCCAATGTCAATTGCAGGATACCTCATCCCACACCGCTACAATCGTTTTCTTCGTGAATACAAATGACAAACTTGGACGTTATTTTTAAGAACATTGAAAACCACTGAGGCAATAGTCTGCATGTTAAGTGGAAAATGTGGTCTGATGTTACTATTACTAGGAACAATTATTAAGCTGAACACATACCGTAAGGTTGCAAGAAATCACCTATAAATAGACCTTCTCATTACGACAACGATTTATTAAAAGTAATTTAATGACTGAAGATCATGTTGTTGCCCATTAATGAAAGAGGGAACTGAAAAGAAGTAACATCTTCAAATATGGCGCGTTCTCAAATATAATAATGAAATTAGAAAAAGCGGCTTTTCTATCCACTTTTTTCCTTCGTTTTATGCCATTCATAAGTACTGACAGTTAATTAACCTTTATAGTCTCATATGAGTTCATTTTAATGCATTGTGTGGTGGGGCAAATCGACCGAGATAAGTTGGTTTCAATAAGTCAACGTTTTCTTCTTAAGCAAATACGAAGTTTTTGTTAAAAAGATTTATTCAGTGCTCACCGGTGTTTTGGCCGTTTTGCCTTGTTGAGAACCTGAAGAGGTCAAATGGACACATAATCTACTTAGCCAAGCTCCTTCATAGCGCAATGCACATACTCCATTTGCATAAAGAGTAGCTTCTTTTGAACACTCACTAATTTGCTCGTAATAAGTCTTCGAATCGTTGTTGGAGAATAGGCACACACAGTCATACATGGATGAAGAATGTGCCTAGCTCTGGTTAGAAAATTAGTCCAAGGTATGGTGCGAGGTGACAGGTGATCGGAAGGCAGTCCTCCCTTCTCCTGTTCATTCATGGATTTTTCGAATTTATCCAAAAGGCTTCAAGATTTTTACGCGCTGATGTACTGGATTTCTGAGCGAGGATAATGACTTTAATTTCAAAATATTCTCCCTTATCTCTTTATGCCTTGTGCGTGCTTAGTATAGTGTTTTGTTTGGCTTGAACTCTTCAAACTATATGCCCTTTCATAAAGACGTAAAGTGGTCTGGCGTTTCGCTAACTTATTCCGTCTCTGCACACTTTACAAAAGATCAGGCGAACTATGCCTGAACTCGTGCACCTACGGTCTCTACTATCAAAAAAGCGGTCAAGAAGTAGCTGGCGTATATTCGGTGGTATTTCAATCACTGTTAGCAAATTCTCTAGATGTGACCTTTTTTAGTTATGGCTTTATAGTTGTGCTTTCTTCGTTGGATGTAAAGGACGGGTGAAATGGAACCTTGTTTTCGTTAGACTTCTCGTTTGGACGTTTTCTTTCGCCTGAACTAATTTTTAGGAGTTACAGTTCCGTAGCTATAGAAAATGTCTTTTTGTGAAGTTCGAAGGTTATTCATAGTACGACGTCATCGGTCTGGCCGAGACGAGACGACGCCACCCATTCAACGTCGTCTGTGACACTGAAGAACAATTGTTCCTTGGAACATGCGACTGTAGAGGAGTCGGCGGCGTCGGCATCCTCGTCAACACGAGTTTGTCCATGCACATCGATTCATTCCAACAACTCACAACCCGAATCGGACGTTTACGATTAAAAAGACGTGGATTAATTCCGGCTTTGACAACGTTCGTCGCTTACGCGCTGACATTAAGCTATGAAGAGGAAGAAGTTGAGGCGTTCTATATGCACTTGGAGAAGTCTTATAGAGAAGACCGCAGATCCTTCAAGGCCGTCATTGGAGATTTCAGCGCCAAGACTGTCTGAGTTTATCATGGCTACCAGGACCATCCATGATAACTCGCAATTCCAGAAACCTCCCTCCCCACCCCACCCCCGCCACACTCAACACTGGTCGAGGGAGTCTCCCAATGGAGAGTAACGTAACGAAACTGGCCACATTATAGTAAATAGAAGGTTTTGCCTAACCAATGTCGCTGTTACCCCAAAACACTGCACGAGTTCAGACCACCGTTTCCTTCGTGCCAGATTCTATTTTTCGCGAAAAGGAGAAAAACCGCTAAATTCCAAAACCGAAGTCCCAGAACCATCGCAAACTGGGACTTATTCAATTCATTAGTCGGCTATTGGGAAGATGCCGTTGTCGCTAACATCAAGGAAAAATACGATCGGCTCATTCAACGTCTTTACGCTAGCGCTATGAAAGTTGAGAGTTCGAAACTCACCAAGAGATGTTTGTCTCCAGAAACATTCGAGCTAATACGCCAGCGTGGAATCGCACAAACTGCAGGCAACCGCGAACTAACGTCCGAACTTGCAGAACAATGCAGACAGGCGAGAAAAGATCTTGAAGAAAGAAGAGCAGCAGTTATGGTGGAAGCTTCTGGGCTGGGAAAAGTATTCGCAGAGCCCATCCAAGTTTCGCAAATTACAGGATCAAGATGATTGCACTCCGACGCCCAGACGGAACACTGACAGCGTCCAGAAAGGCAATGGAGGAAATCATTCATGAATACTACTCGGATCTCTTCGATGGCCACGTCCATCTTACGTCATATGAAATAAAGGAGGATGGATATGTTGTACCACCGGTTCTCTCTTCCGAATTTCCACATACCATTTCGTCGGTGAAAAATCGAACAGCACCAGGTCCGGATAGGATAAGACGAGAACACTTGAAGGACCTTCCGCCAGTTCTCGTAAACACACTGGTTCGGCTCATCACAGTTACCTGTCTGAATGCAAGGTTCCTACTCAGTGGGAGACTAGCAAGACCGTGTTATTGTTCAAGAAGGGCGACTTACACGATATGGGCAACTATCGCCCAATCTAATTGCTGTTTGTCGTCTACAAACTTTTCACTCGAGCCATCCTAAACAGGATTGACAGAACACTGGACGAAGGACAGCCGTATGAGTAAGCAGGGATTCGAAAGAAGATTTACTACGATGGACCACATCCACACGGTAAGAAGGCTCATTGAAGTATAGCGAGAGTACAAAAGACCGCTGTGTCTCACCTTTATCGATTTACAGAAGGCCTTTGATTCAGTTGAGACAGAAGCAGTCTTAGAAGCCCTTGATAGTCAAGGAGTTCCTACTCAGTACATAAAGAGTCTTCGTGAGCTGTAAAAAAATTTTACAACCAAGATATCACCATTCTACAACGATATTAACACTGACGTCAAAAGAGGAGTTAGGCAAGACGATACCATCTCGCTAAAATTACTTACAGCCACCCTACATAACGTCATGCTGACATTGGAATGGGATAATATGAGAGTGAAAATCAATGGTCGGCAGTTACACCATCTTCGCTTTGCTGATAACATCGTCCTTATAACACCAAACGTCAACCAAGCGAAAAGTATGCTTACCGACTTTGATAAAGCCTGTAGAAAGATTTTGCCCTCGATTAAATCTCACAAAAACGATGTTCATGAGGAACGGATTGGTTTCGTATGCCCCATTCACGCTCAACGCGACGAATGTCTCCGAATACTCCAGTAATGTCCATCTAGGTCGGGAAATCGATATGATGAACGACCTAGTTCCAGAGCTGTGCAGAAGGAAACGAGCGGCTTTGGGTGCTTTCAAGAGCATCGAGGATGTAGTGAAGTGGACAAACACCCGACTCCGTGCCCACCTTTGCGACTCAGCGGTACTTCCTGCCCTAACGTATGCGTCAGAAACCTGCTCCCTGCGTAATGAAAGGCCACTCAGCATTATCGAACGCGGAGTCGAAAAAGTATCCCGTTCCACACAAATAAAGTATGGGGTCCGAAGCTTCGATCTGCGTTAACGATCAAAAATCAAAGATGCCGTTCTGTACGCCAAACAGTCGAAGATGAGGTGTGCCGGACATATAATGCGCATAAATGACAACCGATGGACAAGAGCCGTTAGTGACTGGATTCCTCGGGATGTCAAACGTACTGTAGCCACCGACCGGATGGTTAGAGTTCTTCACAAAAAGCCTTGAAGAGAGATATGATGCTGAGCGAGCCCCTAAAGCGAGCAGAACCCACTGTGCTACTCTTGCGTGCGACAGGGAAAAATGGAAGATTTACTGGCGCCCGCTTGAGTCACTCGACGATCAACGGAGCTATAGGTGATACAGGTGATTTGTTTCTGGCAGTCTTCTTACCCTATATTTTTATTGTAATACGTTCAGTCTTTGTAATATTAAAGGTGTCTTATTTGTGTGATCTCGTTTTATTATTTTTTTATAGCATATGGATTAGCCTTGTTAGATCTACATAAGAACAGAAATGTATTCCTTTGTACATATTTCTGTCTTTTCTCCTTAACACTTTAATGTGAACTCTATACTATCTTCATCC